GCGGAAGGACAGACTGATCGGGAGAGAGAGAGAGAGAGAGAGAGAGAGAGAGGAGAGCACCCCTACAGGGTCTGATCATGGGCAACCCCCTTCTTCCAGTCATCCAGCCATCAGATCATGGCCACTCCTGTGTGTGCCATGCATGATTCAGGACGACTGGGCTAGGGATTTGAACTGCAGTTGCCATGTGGCTTCCAGCACTGCAGTTCGGCACTCTACCCCCTGTGTTACCATGGCAGGGCTTACATTACAGTCTTGAGGCAGAATTGCTTCTTTGTCACAGCTCCAAAGTCCTCGACTGATTGGATGAGGCCTACCCATGTCATCAAAGGCAATGCCCTTTATTTAAAGTTACTGGTCTGCAGAATTCCTTCAGAGCAACACTTTGATTAGTGTTTGACCAAATAACTGGGCACCATAGCATAGTCAAGTTGATACCTAAAATTAACCAACGCACTAAGTTGTGAGGGTGCTGGTCCAGGGACCACATTTTGAGAACCCCTGGGTTAGACAGTTAGTTCTGGGATCTCATTTGGATTCTTTTGGAGAGAAAGAAGGATTTTTAAAAACAGAATATTACTCTAAATTTAGAGAACAGAGGGAAGAGTCCCCAGAACCCCACTCTTCCCACAAGGCCTGTCTTTGTCACCCAGTTGGTCCTTGTCCACCGTAGGCAACAGTTTTCACAGCTGCCGTGGCCAGGCCTGTACCAGGACAGGCCTTCGGTGTCTCTTCTGTGGTTTCCCCAAAGGCTTCTGCTTTGCTCACTACAGAGCAGCCTGGGGAGGGGTCAGGTGGCCTCAAAAGGGAGTAGGAAGCAGCATCTCTTACGGGGACCCCTTCCCCACTGAGCCCGAGCCCTAGCCCAACTCAGAGGTTTGCCATCACCCCTGGGGAATGTAAGAACAGGCCCCTGGGTATGACATTTAAAAGTCCAGTCTAGGGCCAGCTGGTGGCGTGATGGTTAAGGCAGCTGGGCCCCACATGGCCGACTGCTCAGTTTGAGTTCCAGACTCAGCAACTTGAAAAACACTCTGGGCACATGCGCGTGCCCGTGTGTGTACATATGTACGTGTGTCCAAAATCCCAAAAACAGAGTAGAGGAGAAGGGATTACAGTGTGACCGTCTTCTCATGGGGCATGCCTTCTTACCTTCCCTCCCCGCTCTGTCTCTCTCTCTCGTTCTCTGGTTCTCTGGCAAGAGCATGTACTTCCTAGTCAATTAAAATAAAATAAAATTTTACAAGTCCAGTCTGGAGGTCCAGCTGGCGGCACAGTTGACCCACACAGGCAGGTTCTGGGTTTGTATCTGGAGATATCCTTGAGTCTATACCAGACAGAGAGAGACAGAGAGACAGAAAGCGAGAAATCACCCCCCCCCCCCAGGGGGGATGGCCCTGCTGCCATCCCTTCTCCTCCCTTCTCCTCTCGGGATCTTGGGCACGCATGCACCTGTACCTGGCGTGAGTTTAAGCCACCGGGTTCGGGACTCGAACCGTGGTCGACTATGTGGGAGTCCAGTGACATAGCCATTACGCTAACTGCTGGTCCCTTTTACTGTAGATTTCTAAGAGCTGGAATGCGTTGGCCAGTAAATAATAAAAACCCAAGTGAGCCAGGCAGTCTACTGGTGAAGAGAGCTGGATCCCACATGGCTGACGTGGTTCAGATCCAAGCACCAGCAGCTTGAAAAACACACAGGGCATAGGTTAGTGGGTGTCATGGAGGGTAAGGCACTGGATACCACATGGCTGACTGCATGGTTCGAGTCCTAGATTTGGCAGCTTGAAAAATCACTCCAGGCATGTGTGCGTTCATGCTCAAAATCCCCAAAGGAGATTGTAGTGGGGAGAAGGGATTGTAGTGTGGCCATCCCCTCAGAGAATGATTGTCACTGTCTGTCTCTCTCTTGTGAGAGCACACACCTGACAGCAAAATTTTAAAACTAAAAAACAAAACAAACAAACAAACAAAAACAACTGAAAAAGAAGGAAAGAAAAACACACAGGGCACATGTGCATAAGTGCCCAAAATCCCAACAGGAAGGAAAAATGAAAGAGAAAGGATTGCAGATGGTCATACCCCATCAGGAGGTGCTTTCTCCCCCCTCCCTCTCTTTCTGGAGAATGCAGGAGCCTCGGACAATTAAAATAATGGTGATAATGATAGAAAACCCAACTCACAGTATTTTAAATAAGAGGCCAGGGGTTCTGAACTGTTTTATATCACGGCCTCTTTGGCACTTGATGTAACGCATAGACCTCGTCACAACAGTGGTCCTTTTATCTTTAAAATCACTTTACTGAAATATACCTGTTTCATGTGTCTAGCCTAATGAGTTTGAAGATAAGTACACTTACACCTGTGCAAGAATAGTGGGGTTTTATAAGCTTCCTGTCATGAGCAAGAGAAACAGGAAGACAGGCACCCTCAGCAGGGTCTTGATGGGGAGATCCACCCAGTCTCACCCCAGATCATGGGTGCACATGCACCTAGCATGTTCAGGGGGATCTCTGGATAAGCGCCTAGGACCTTCCCACGGAGGTCAGCCTCGCAAAGCATTGGTACTGCAATACCACCACCCAGCCCTGAATAGTGTTTTGTTTTGTTCTGTTTGTTTCTTAGATTTTTTGCAATAGGGTATACATGCTCACCACAGAGACACAGAGACTGAGAGAAGGAAAGTGAGAAATCACCCCAGGAAGATGGCCACATTGCAGTCCCTTCTCCTCCATTCTCCTCTCGGGATTTTGGGCACATAGGAACACAGTCCCTGAGTGATTTTCAAACTGCCAGGTCTGGGACTCAAACCACAGATTCAGCAATGTAGGATCCAGTGTCTTAACCACCATGTCATCTGCTGGTCCCTGAATATTGGTTTTAAAAGCATAAAAAAATTTTTTTTGACTATAAAAGAGGCCAGCTATGTTGAAAAGCAGTTATCAAACTACATTAGTCTAGGTCCTCCAAGAAACAGATCCCAAGATAAATTAAGCATGCCAGAGTTTTGCCAGAGTAAGAATGGGGAGGGATCTGGGCAAGGCTGGGAAGGCTGTCAGGCCTCAATGCCATGAAGGAAGGGATGGAGAGAGGGAGGGAGGGAAGGAGAAGGGAGGAAGTGTGGGTGGGTGTAAGCTCCTAGACGGCTGAGCAGATCTGAGGAGGCCTTGGGCTGAGCTGGCTGTCCTAAGCATCCCTTGTCTCTCAGGAATGGGCCATTCTTCATGTGTGTATGTGTGTGTGGTGGGGGGAAGGTACTCAGCCGTTGGCTGGGCGCATTCCTGGCCAGCACAATGTGGATGTCAGCAAACAGAGGCTGGCACTCCCAGCCAGTCACCCTCCTGTAGCTGGAGCCCTGTGAGATGTATTCTCAAGGCTGCCACACAAACTCCAAAAATTCTTTGAGCTGTAGTAATGTATGTGCTTCCCATTAACAGTGAAAGACAGTTAACGGCAGACCCCACCCAACTAACTTCAAAGTCAGGAGGAGCATGGACAGTATTTGCCAGATCTGCAACAATTGTAACTCAATGTAAACCCGTGATTTCTTCTGATGGCAAAGTCACAGGCATGGCTAATACTCCTATGACTTGTTGCCTACATTTATAATAGAAGGAAAAGGAAAAGCCTGGTTAGAGGTTAGTGAAAATAAAGATGAACATCTTGTTCTCATTCAAGTCTGTAGATCCTGGGGAATTGCCTTGAATGAAGAAAGGTCAGGGCCAAATAAAAAATGAACAGACTCTGGTAACCAGATCATACTCAGATCATAAACAACCTCTTAGCAGACCCTGTCAGATCCCTTCCACTCACAGCCCCCTAGGTCGCCAGCAGCGTAGATTTGTCTGTTTTTGTACTTTATATAGTTGGAGAAATATGGTATGACTACATTGCGTGTGGGTTCTCTTTCCACCCACATTCTGTTTAGGCAATTCATCGTTCTGACGTGGGTGGTTGTACATTGTTCATTGTCATTGTTGTGGACTGTTCCGTTGAGTGAATATTCATCCAGTTGGAGTTTCAGGGTGGGAATATTATGAACAGTGCTGCAAAGATGTCCCTCCCCTTGTCCCTGGGCTGAGGTATGCACACTTTTCTGTTGTGTGGGTGCTTAGGAGAGGAACTGCTGGGTCACAGGGAGGGTGTGTCTACATTCAGCTTTAGTGGATGTTGCCAAACAGCTTCCAAACAATGTGTGCTCCTGCCAGCAGTGTGTGAGCGTTCTAGTTTCTCCACACCCTCGCCAACTACTTGGTATTTTTTGTCTTTAATTTCAGCCATTCTCAGGGAGTATGTATAGTGGTAGCATACCATGGGTTTCACCAAGTACCCATCAGGCACTTAATATATACCTTTTGGATGATTGCCTAGCAATGTTCTCCTCCAAGAGAACGTACTGTTTGGGGATGAGGAAAGGGTAGTGGGCTCCCTGGAGCTACGGGTGTGCAAGGCCAAGCAGGTGTCTGTTGTAGAGGGACGTCACAGCAGGGAGCACGGCCTTCAATGAGGACTACGCTGCATGATATTAAAGATTCTCCCAGCCCCTAGACTCTGTGAAGCTATGAATTATCCATGCTGGGGTTCAGTAAAGGCAGACTGATTTCAGTATTAGCTGAAGCAAAACCTAATTAGGAAGGCAAATTGATTTCCAAAAAAAGAATTGGATGATATGTTCCCAGGACTGTTGGAAATGGCTTTTTAATTGTCTGTCCTTATGCATTATTCATGCAAATGTATGTCTTTGTGAGCTAAGTCGGTCACTCATTCTCCCTCCAACCCCCTCTCCCTCCACTAGTACCTTTTTCCTGTTCCAGTCCCGTCAGGACTGGGCTGTGCCATTCCTATGGGGATAACTGAGGACTTATGGGACAGAGGGACTCAGAGACATGCTGGGGAGGGGCTCCAGGCACAGGCAGGAACAAGGAACCACTGACTGAGAGCTGGCCCTTCTCCACCCGCCCCCACGCCAGGTAGCCCGGTCGCAGGGAAAGGGCATCTTCCTCTTCCGGAGGCTGAAGGACATCATGGACTGGAGGAAGGTGAGCTCTCTTCCTTTTCTTCTCGGAACTGGAACCGCCTCTACCCTCGCCAGGAGGAGGGGCCCCTCGCTCGTTCCCTCAAAACTCAGAGGGCCACAAAGAAGTTCTGGCCACAGGCCTGCCCATAGGAGTGGAACTCTGGAGCCAGATTGTCTGGGTTCAAATCCTGACCTTGCCTCACAAGAGCTCTGTGACCTTGAGCAATTGACCTTACCTCAGTGCCCCCAGGAAACAGTCCTGGCTGAGGATTCAGTGAGTTCCTAAGCAGAAAACCCTACAACATCCCAACACTTAGCACTTAGCAAGTGCTCAGCACACGCCCTCTATCTCTATGAGTTTGGCTGGTAATTTCTCCATATCCTAAACTGAGCCTCAGAGCTCCCACGACCTCCCATCCCAACCTTGTCCCAACACACGGTGCAGCAGAACTTCGGGCTGAGATCCTGCCTCTGCCACTCAGCAGCTGTGTAGTCTTGGGGAAATTACTGAAGCCCTCTGAACCTTGGGGGACAGTGGTCAGGGTAGGTGGGAGGGACGGGATGACTGAACTCCTACAGGACCAGAACATACCAGGGGACTTCGAAAAGCCTGTGGAGGGGCCAGCAGGTGGCGTGGAGGTTAAGGCACTAGATCCCATATGGCTGACGATGCGGTTTGAGTCCTCGACCTGGTGGCTTGAAAATCACTCTGGGCATATGTGCCTGTGTGCCCCAAATCCCAAGGAAACTGGAGGCAAAGGAACTGTGGGGTGGCCATCTCCCCCCTTGGGGTGTGATTTTTCACTTTCCCTTTCTTTCTGTCTTTCCCTGGTGAGCGCCAATGCCCTATAGCAAAACTTAAAAAAAAAAAAAAAAAAGTCTGTGGAAAAGTGGAATTAAAGTACAAGTTTATTTTATTGTAAAAAAATATTAAGTTCCACGCAGTTTCCTAATATGCATTTTCCATGAAATTGTTGACGACCCCTTGCACTGCACCCGCAGGCTCACCGCAGGTGCTCAATACATGAATCTCCTCCTCTACAACGTGTTCCTTTCCCTGCCCCTTTCCTCTGTGAAACTATCAGGGCACTGCTGGAAAGAAGCTCACCAGCCTAGAGGCCCAGCCTACCCGGAGCGCTGTCAATCCCTCTGGTGGCCACGTGAGTTGGGGGGCAGTCAGGGTTCTGGGAAGAGACCCTGAGGTAGGCCATATTGGACAGAGAAAATCTGCTCTGGAACCCAAAAGCCCTGAGTTCCAGTGCCCCCTGCCCCTGGGCTGCTGTGCAACATCACCAAGAGGTGGGCCCTTGTCTTTTGGCAGCTTTGCAGGGTTACTGCGGAGGGCCCAAGGGGTAGGAAGGGGCTTTGCAGAGCGAGGCACCATGCACCTGCAGGAGAGCATTGCTGTCTTCCCGAGCTGGGCTGACCGGTGGGGAAGGGACTCCTGACAGCAGTGGGGCGGTGTGTATCTGTTGTCCAGTGCAGTGGCTGCGAGCCACGTGTTGGCATCATCAAGCATTTGCAGTATGGCTGGTGGGACTGAGTTTTTCTTTTCCTTCCTGTTTTTACTACTATGAATTGTAGTAAAATACGCAAATGTAAATTTTCCATTTTGACCATTTGAGGTATATGGCTCCGCAGCATTAAATGCATGCCCCCCACCAGCCATTCGCAGAACGTGTTCATCCCACACTGAAATTCTGCACGCAGTAAACGCTGACTGCCATCCCGCAGTTCTCTCGGGTCCCAGCGCCACCCTCTGCTTTCTGCGCCTACGAATGTCCCCACTCTGGTACCACGTCTAAGTAGGCCCATGGAGTAGTTACCCTTTCACGCCTGGCTTTTATCGTTCAGCACATTGTCTTCTGGGTTCATGCATGTCATAGCAATTAATCCCACTTACCCTCAATCCCTTTCTTTTTTCTTATTTATTTAATTTTATTTATTATTATTATTTTTAAATTTGATCAGAGAGAGAAAGGAAAGAATAGTGAGAAAGCAAGCTATCCAATCTGGGACTCGAACTGTGGTTGGCCTAGTGGGAGTCCAGTGCCTCAGCCACCACACCACCTGCCTGCCCATTTTCAATCAATTTAAATGGAAATGGAAATCTTCACGTGAGACCAGTGGCCACCAATTGGGTAGCACAGGTCTAGAGGTTAGTGCTTGAGCTAAGGGCCCAGCCTGCCTGGGTTCACAGCCCAGCTGTACCACTGACTGGCTGTGTGATCTTGGGCAAGTCCCTCTCCCTTTCTGTGCTTCAGTTTCTCTCTCATATGTAAAATAGGAATGATATTAGTACTTACTTGAAAAGGTTTTTATTCTTTTTTTTTAAATAGATTTTTGCTATAGGGCACGTGTGCTCACTAGAGAGACAGAAAGTGAGAAATCACCCCTGAGGGGGATTGGCCACACTGCAATCCCTTCTCTGTTCTCTTCCTGGGATCTTGGGCATACACATATGCCTGGTGTGAGTTTGAAACCACCAGAAACAGGACTTGAACCATGGTCTACCATGTGGGAGTCCAGCAATGTAACCACTACGCCATCTGCTGGTCCTGACAGGGTTGATTTAAGCATCAAATGAAATACACCAAGTAGAGTCCTTAACAAAATGCCTACTATGCAGGAAATGCTTGGTACATGTTAACAATAATTATTATTACAACTAGGACACAAGAAGCTCTGATGACCAGCGAGATGAGATTCCTGTGGAGAACTATGTAGCTCAGAGGTACATCGAAAACCCCTACCTGATAGGAGGTAAGATGGCTGTCTCTGCTCCCTGTCCTTCCACTAAAAGGCCAGAGTCAACAAGTCTTGACTAGCAGCCTGCAAGGGACCAGCCTGACACCAGGCATGAAGAGATGCAGGAAAGGAGTTCTGCCCTGCACACTCCCACCTCCTAGCCATCACCCATGCAGCTCTCTCTGGCTGGCATGCCTTTCCCACTCCCTTCTTTGTTCACAAAATCCTCCCTTCTTCAAAAAACAAAACAAAACAAAACAAAACACTGCATTCATTCACTCACCTAGCCTACAAATATTTATTTATTTATTTTCAGAGTTTTTTTGGCTATAGGACGCTCACTGGAGAGATGGAGAGAGATAGAGATAGAGAAAGTGAGAAATCACCCCCCGGGGGGGATGGCCATGCCGCAATGCGTTCTCCTCCATTCTCCTCTCAGGATTTTGGGCACACACGCATACGCACCTGGCGTGCTGCCAGATCCAAGACTTGAACCGCAGTCAGTCCTATGGGAGTCTAGTGCCTTAACCACTATGCAACCTGCTGGCCCCACCAACAAATAGTTATAAAGCGCCTACTCAGTGTCAGCATTGTCCTGGATGCTGGCTGTCCACACGGCTCACTGGAAGCATGCATCCCAAATGGGCAGAGGTCAGAGAGCAGGTGAAACAGTCCCACATCATGGGTGTTATAATCAAATAGGGTGACAGGACAGAGAGCGACCTGGGGAGCATGTGGGGCCCCTCTGAGGAGGTACCTTGCAGGCCGAGGCCTGACTGACCACCAAGAGTCACTTTGGGTACGGATGGAGGACAAGAGTACAAGGCAGAGGGAACTTCAAGGGCAGAGGCCCTGAGGTGGAATGTGCCTCCTCCCTGAAGCCTGACAGGTATTCCAGGCCAGCCCTGCTCAAGCTTTTCCCCATGAGGACTGTGATCATAGATAGCCAGGTGTGTGGGGGAAGAGGTGCCACCCCAGGGGTCTTGTTTTAGCTGCATTGCTGCAACAGTGGTAATGCCACTTGCCTCTCCCCACCTCCTCGGGCGATGGCTGACCCAGGGAACAGTCCTGGGTCTCTTCTCCTCCCTCCTCTCCTTTCCTTCCCTCCTCCAGTGACCCCATCCTGCCTGGCTTTAAATGCCACTGGATGCCAGTGACTCCCAGCTCTGTCTCCAGCCTGATCTGCCTCTGAGCCCCAGATCCTGATGTCTGACAGCGGGTAACAGTCCCTCTTGGCCATGTGCCAACAACACAGCCCAGCATGCCCCAGGTTCAAAGCCCGTCCCCCTGGGCATTTCATGAAGGCAGTGATTCACGCCTGCCTGCTCTCTGCCCTGTCTCCCAAACCTGACGCTCCATCGATATTTGTTACATAAATTAATTCTTTCCTTGCCTGACAGGCCGCAAGTTTGACCTGCGTGTCTATGTGTTGGTGATGTCGGTGAGTAACTAAGCAGAGCCCCCCTGCAGCTGGGGTCAGGGTGGCTGGACTGGGGGTACAGAGAGCAGAGGCCATTCTGGGGGTGCCTTGTGTGAGTGAACTTGTCTATTCTTGTTTTTGTTTTTTAAGGTTTTTGCTGCAGGGTGTGTGCGCTCACCAGAAAGAGACAGTAAGGGGGAAAGTGAGAAATCACCCTCAGCGGGGATGGCTATTCCACAATCTCTTCTCCATTCTCCTGGGATTTTGTGTACACACACACACACACACACACACACACACACACAGTGTGAGTTTCAAGCCACCAGGTCCAGGACTAGAACTGTGGTCGGTCATGTGGGAGTCCAGCACCTTAAACACTATGCCACCTGCTGGCCCCGCTTGTCTGGTTTTAATCTGTGCCTGGGAGAGCCCAGGGGGACATCTAAGGATGAGTGAGAATAGGCAGACATGCCCAAGCTTTACCACCTTAGATGCCCCAGCAACTACTGGTAGTTCTGCCTTCCACCTGTTCTTTCTCCAGTCACCCATGGTAACCAGGCAAACATTCACTGAGTACCAGCTAAGTGCCCTGCCCTAATAAGCAGCAGGTTCGATCTCATTCAGTCCTCCTAGTGACCCAGTGAGGTAGGTTCTTATTGCTCTCATTTGCAAAAGAGGGGATAGTTACAGGGAGGTGGTGTGGCTTGCCAAGGTCACAGAGCTGGTAAGCGGCAGAGCTGGTGTTCAAAGCTAGGCAGCCTGGCCTCCAGACCTACCTCTCTTTAAAATAATTATATTTAATTTTATTTATTATTTCAAAGTTTGCTACAGGGTGTGTACACTCACGAGAGAGAGAGAGAAAGAGAAAGTGAGAAAGCAAATCTCCAGGTCTGGGACTTGAACCATGGTTGGCCATGTGGGAGTCCAGCGCCTCAGCCACCATGCCACTTGCTGGCCCCAGACCTACCCTCTTATACTCCACCTATTCATTCATCCACTTATTCATTCAGTAAATGTTTAAACTTTGATGCCTTCATGGTGTGCTGCTCGGTGCTGGGCAGGAATCGGGGAGTCCAAGGCAGGCTTAGACCCTGCCCCCGTGGGGTTCATTGCCTGGTGGGGTTACTCATGGTGGGGCAGAGAAGAGGCCCATTCATGGTGTTCTGTTCTGCAACTCCTGCTGGCAAGAGAAGGAACAGGTAGAAGCAGAGGAAGCTGATGTTAGAGCAGGCACTTGAAAGAGGAGACTGAGAAAGGAGGGAGGGCATTCGGGGGGCGGGAACCGCAGGGGGAGCTGCTGGTGGGCAAGGGTGCCTGCGTGCAATCTTTCCCTTTACTCCTCTCCCCGTCTTCACCTCAGTACATACCGCTGCGGGCCTGGCTGTACCGGGATGGCTTCGCACGATTCTCCAACACCCGCTTCACGCTGACCAGCATTGATGACCAGTGTATCCTAGGGTCCCAGCAAGTCGTCCCACACCTGCCTCCTGTCCTCTGACCACTCACATGAATGTTTTCATCCCACAGAGGTTTGCCAAGTCCCTGCAACACAGCCTGGTCCCTTCCCTTCAGAAGCTTCTAGTCTTTTTTTTTTTTTTTTTTTTTTTAGAGAGAGAGATTTTTGCTATAGGGTACATTCACTCGCTGGAGAGTAAGAAACAGAGAGACAGAAATTGAGAAATCATGTCCTGGGGGTGGGGGTGGGGTGATGGCCATACGGTAATCCCTTCTCCATTCTACTCTTGGGATTTTGGGCATGCATGTACACACACCTGGTGTGAGTTTTAAGCCACCAGGTCCAGGACACGGACCACGGTCGACTACAAGGGAGTTCAGTGCTGTAACCATTACGCTATCTGCTGGTCCCCAAAGCTTCTCGTCTTCTGTGGGTGGTCTAACGGGAACAGCCTAGCTCTGCTCAGAGCGGGTCACCTGAAACTGGTCAATAATCGCTTGGTGGCACCTGATACTCATGTTTATTCATGATCGCAGGATCAGGCAGTTCAGCCCCTTGGGAGGATGCCTGCTTCCTTTCAGGTGACTTTTCTTCCGTGCCTAGTTGTTGCTCCCTCCTTCATTGAAATATGATGCCATGTCATCCATCCAATTACCAGAGACCAAAAGTTTGATAAGGCATTGTTCTGGTGAGGGTGTGTGTGTGCATACATCACTGCTGGGAGTGTCAATTTTTGTACCAAAATAACCCTAGCCCTTGGTGCAGCCCCTTGGTGGGCAGTCTGGCCCACGTCTATCAAAAGACAAACGTGCACACGCTCTGATACAAAAGTTCCCTTCCTGCATTAAGCCCCGCGGCTACACTGGCAACACAGGAAGGACAGACTTAAAGGCTATTCACTGCACCGTCTTGTTTGTGAGCGTGGAATACAGGAAACGGCAAAATAAACAGCTCATCTGTGCAAGGAGTAGGGACTGGCTCTGTGGGGCCGCAGTCATGTGCTCTGGAGAGAAGCTGGATCCCACGTGGCACATGCAGTTAGAATCCGTGTCCATTCAGCCTGAAACATGCTGGGCACCAGGGAAGTGCCCAAGATAGGAGGAGCTGGAGGCCTGGAGGAAGGGGATCACGGTGTGACCAGCTCCTGTGGAGGCTGCTCACCTCTCTCTTTCACTCTCTTGTGTGTGCGCATGTGCCCCATCATGAATAAAGAACATTTGTCTAAAGGAAGGGGGAAAGTACTTTATGTACTGATATGAAGCCATCTCCAAGATATATTGTTAATTGGGGGTGGGATGGGGTGGGGAGAGCTTATGGAAACAGTGTGAAAAAATATGCCTCCCCAGGGCCAGCAGGTGGCATAGTGGTTAAGGTGCTGGACTCCCACATGGCCAACCATGGTTCAAGTCCTGGACCTGCAGGCTTGCTTTTTCACTTTCCCTCTCTCTTTCTCTTTCTTTTTTTCTTTCTGATCAAATTATAAAATGACAATAGTAAATAAAATTAAATAATTTTTTTTTAAAAAGTGTATCTATGTGTATCCAACAGGTGGCGTGTAGGTTAAGGCACTGGATCCCACATGGCTGAGTACATGGTTTGAGTCTCAGACAAAGCAACTTGGAAATCACGCTGTGCTTGTATGTGTGTGTGTGTGTGCATGTGTGTGTGTGTGTGTCCAGGATCCCAAGAGGAAAATGGAGGGAGGGGTTTTGGTATGGCCATCCCTCCAGGGGTGATTTCTCACTCTCTCTCTCTGGCGGACCCACCCACATGTCCTATAGCCAAAAGTTAGAGAAAAAGAAAACAGCATATCTATATGTGAAAGGACTTCAAAATAACACGAAAAAATTGAATTAAAGTACAAGTTTATTTTGGTACAAAAAAATCTTTGAAATCTAAGGATAGCTTTTCATAGTGCATGCTTTTCCATGAATATTGTGAAGACCCTGCCATATGTCCACATATCTGGGCAGAGACTTCTCTAGAAGGACAGACAAGAAACTGGAAACTGAAGTTGTATTTGGGAAGAGAAAGGGGTGGAGACGGGTAGAAGGTATTTCATAATATGCATCTTTGTACTCTTTGTTTGATCTGGTCAGAATATAAACATCAAAAAAAGGCTTTTAAGATTTTTTTAAATCTTGGGGCCAGCAGGTGATTAAGGTAGACTCCCATATGACTGACAGTGGTTCGAGTCTCAGACAGGGTAGTTTGCTTTCTCACTTTCTCTCTCTCTGGTGAGCATCTGTGCCCTCTAGCGAAGTAAAAAAATAATAATAATAACATAATAATTAATAAAATTACATAAGTAATTCTTTTAAAATAAAAATGTTTTTCTATCTGAATGTCAAAAAGGTGTAGATAGTCCGGAAACGTTTAGGAGATAAATTGGCAGGACTTAATGAGCTGCATATGGGGGGTAATCTGCGTATAGAAATGGAGGGTGATCCTGCCAAGCTTCCCGAGTGGGCAACCCAGCCGATGTTTTTAGCCAATTCACATCTCTCTGCTGTAATTCCATTGTTTAATTAAGAATGTGTCCAAGTAATTAATGCGTTTGCATTGCCTGCGTCTAAGCCTGGGATTAGGCCCTTCTAATGTATTTCATGTGGGTTTTTTTCCTACTTTGCTAACTTCAGCATTTCCAGTACGTTTATTTTATTTTGTAATTCTACCAAGGATTTTTCATAAGCAAGTCATTACATTTAGTTTAGTTGGTTTTTTTGGTTTTTTTTTTTTGAGAAGTTTTTTGCTATAGGGCACGTGCGCTCACCAGAAAGACAGAGACAGTGAGACAGAAAGGGAGAAATAATCCCCCAGGGGAGATGGCCATGCCCTAATCCCTTCTCCTCCATTCTCTTCTTGGGATCTTGGACACGCACACACACACACACTCAGCGTGAGTTTAAGCCACTGGGTCCAGGACTTGAACCGTGGTCAACTACATGGGAGTCCAGCGACATAGTCATTATGCCAACTACGGTTCCTATTTTATATAGCTTTTATTTATTATTATTTTTAAAAAAATATTTCCAGAGAGAGACAGAGAGAGAGAGAGGGAAAGTGAGAAAGCAAGCCTCCCAGTTCAGGACTTGAACTTCAGGTGGCCATGTGAGAGTCCCTAAACACCATGCCACCTGCCGGCACACATGGGCACTTTTTAAACAAATTCACCCCTCTCCCAAAACTACTTTATATCGAATGAGGCTTCATTTTTTCCGTGGTGAATTAATATACATTTCCCACCCCCTCTTCTAAATTTTTTTTAATATTTAAATCTGAAAATATTTAAATATGTAGAAAATATTTAAATATGTAGAAAATATTTAAATATGTAGAAAACTGCAGAAAAGACTATAATCCAGATCTAATATTTTGCTATAGATAGTACTTACCAACTTTTAAAATAATAAAATAACTTCATTTTACAAAATAATAAGG